GAGGGCTGTAAAGCACTATGAAGTGGCATATAAGTCTAAGTGCTATTACACTATTACAACTGCAGGCTATTACAACTGCAGGCTAACTCTGCCCACTGCCAGCAGTTCGATTCTCACTGATTCATGGTTGACTCAGCCTTCCATCCTTCTGAGGTTGGTAAAATGAGGACCCAGATTGTTGGGGCCAATATACTGACTCTGTAAAACTGCTTAGAGAGGGCTGTAAAGCACTATGAAGTGGCATATAAGTCTAAGTGCTATTGCTATTGCTATTCACATCCCATTCCCAAGTTTTTAAAAAACCCTTTTTCAACAATAAGCTTTGCAGCTTACCTTTTGTTGCTGACTCATGTTCCATAAAAATAAATTGTGCAATTTGGAATAGATCAGGTGACATAAAAAAGAAATCTCTGTTGCCCACTCACCCCATACATCCAGAAGAAAGACACAGAAAATGAAATGGATTGACTCTTCCTCCTCTCAGTGAGAGTCTCAAGACAGCAGAAGAAAAATCACTCTAGGCATCATTTTTCTCTCTCCTCTGGTTTAACAAATTGTGGTTCTTTGATTAAAATGCCAAGGAGGCTGTTGATCTCTGTCCATTTACTCTTCTCCTCCTACTAGGATTCTGGGCCTTCCTTGCAAATAGACAGCAAAGGGCTTTGCAGGTCTCTGTGAAACCTTGGAGTTGAGGAATGTAAATGTATGTCTTGATTTCCAAGTGCCAATGAAATCCTAAGTATCATGAGGACATGAGTACACATGGATTTTTTGGTGTGTGTGTGTGTGTGTGTGTGTGTGTGTGTGTGTGTGTGTGTGTGTCTTACAACAGCCTTTCTGTCCTGCCTGAAGACAGCAGGGGATATTACTGATGTCTGGGACATCACTGGAATAGACCATTTTTATGGTGGGAGAGGGGATTTTGCCATTAGGGGGTAATGCAAGGGAAAGGGTGCCTGCTGAGAATTCATCCTTTCACTTTTACGTACCTCCTCCAAGATAATTTAGCCTACTTTCAGGGAAAAGAGCCCAAAGGCCAAATTTCATTTCAGAAATAGCAGTCCCATCCTTTTTACTGCATTGCCTATGTGGATTTGGGACACACAAGTGGATCTGGGATCTTATTTTCCAAAGCACCAGAAGGCAAGACAAGAAATAATAGATGGAAATTAATCAAGGAGAGAAGCATCCTGAAATTAAGGAGAAACTTTCTGACAGCGAGAGCAGTCAACCAGTAGAACAGCTTGCCTTCAGAAGCTGTGGGTGCTCCATCACTGGACGTTTTCAAGAAGAGACTGGGGAGCCATTTGTCCAGAAGGGTATAGGGTCTGCTGCTTGAACAGGATCTGAACTAGAAGATCTCCAAGGTCGTATCCATTTTTGTTATTTTGTAATACTGTAATTTTTCTCTATGGTGTAAAGGAAATCTCAGGAAAGCCACCATATTTGAGGCAGGCGTAGATATTTGGAGGCAACTATTCTGCATTTAAAGATACAATGGCAACAAATGCAGTAGAAGAAGAGCCCCATGGTGTCCAGAAATCAAAGAACTCTGGCAGCATCTTTTCTAGACTAACAGGTTATATTAAAGTATGAAGTTACATGCATCTGATAAAGTGAGCTGTAACTCCCAAAAGCCTTTTAATAAAATTTGTTTCTCTGAGAAGATGTTACCCAACCTCTTCTGATTTGTGACTACACATAATCTCCCTCCCTCTCTCCCTCTCTCTCTCTCTCTCTGTGTGTGTGTGTGTGTGTGTTTGTGTGTGTATGTGCTCATCAGATCAATTTTTCTAAAGCTGAGTTGAGGTTTTCACTCCTATGACACACGGTAAGCATGGTGAAAGATATGGATTGATGGAGTAATGTAGAAATCTGCCAAAGATCGGTAAAAACTGGGTGAAAGTTGATTTAGGTTAAGTAACAATGATGGGTGGGAAGGAAAGGAATATAGGAGGATCCATAAGTGGAATCTAAGAACTGGAGAAATCCAATCTGTTTGTTCATCTATGGAATTAATACTGGGGCAGAGTTGAGACTGTTTGTCTGTTTTTAAGTAGTTTGTATGCTGCCCATTCCTGGAGGCTTTAAACAGCTAACATCAATAAATTCATGCACCTATACATATTGTCACTGCTGGAGCAGGGGCCTCATACTCTGGTCATAATAATAGGAAATTTGCTTTGCAGGTAATAGTTATTATGTTTCTGTGGATCAAGGCCTGAAAAGCCTATAGAACACAAGTGTTTCTTGCAAGAAACTTGGAGTTGTGTATCAAGTTGGGGGAAATTCATTAACTGAATGCAGTGTTCATAAAGAATGTAACATCTGATTTGATCCCAAAACATTAACATATTTATACAAATAGTTGACTATGGAATGAGAGTTCTTGTTGACCAGTAACTTTTTTTTTCATTACTACAAGGAAAGAATTACGCTTTGCATACAAAAATGACAGGTTTTATCAGAGACCTCGGATAGACACTCTTCATCAGTGCTGACAAAGTATTTTCTGTATTCTTATGTAGCTCTTTGTTTGGCAAAGATGCCAAGGAACAAGAAAGGCAGACATGGAAAATGTCCACTTAGCCCCAGGTGCTGCATTTGATCACACAAGAAGGTGGTTATCGATCTGCAAAGTGGACCCTGCACTTGCAGGAAAAATGCTTGGAGATGATTGATGGTGATGATGATGATGATGACATATCTCTTTGTTTTTAGGTCCTGTGGCTGTAATCAGTGGAGAAGAGGATTCTGCCAGCCCTCTTCATCACATCAATCATGGCATCACCACACCTTCATCATTGGACACTGGCCCAGACACGGTGGTGATCGGTATGACCCGGATTCCTGTCATCGAAAACCCACAATACTTCCGACAAGGCCACAACTGCCATAAACCAGACACATGTAAGTAATCTTACTTTCTTTTTATATGATAATATGGAGATAGGAAAATAAAGAAAACCAAGAGAAGTAAGAGATCTTACTAGAGAGAAAAGATCATAGCCTTTGTATGGTCCAGAAACCAGAAGAATATTTTGTTTTTTGTCCTAGAATTATAACATTTGTGGATTTGTTATACAAGGTAAAATGATTGATTCACTGTCCAGTAATCAATGCATCATTATCCTTGTAGAAGCTCACCCCCCCCCCCAAAAAAAAAAAACATTACAAGGAAGGCTTCCACGATAACCTTTGATACAATCCTGAGTGTAGGTTATATAAGGAGAATGCAAGGCAAATTTAGTACGTGAAGCAGGGAGTGACCTCAAGATTTATTGAATGAAATAAATAAATCATGCCAGGAAGCAAGAAATCTTTCTGTCTTCAACATCCCCATGTTTATAGTACCAGATACGTCCTATTAAACAGTTTTAAACCATTCAGTGGTCATGACAAATCCTTTTCCTCTGCTATATCTTTACAAAATATGAGAAGATGAACCACTAGGCCTACTGAAATCAGAGTTGATTGTAAAGGCCACCAATGTATAATTTGAAATCCTTTGGGGAAATTTGGATTTTGAAATAGAGTCTGCAATAGGCAAATATTCTGTTCTTTAAAAAATAGATCTGAATGAGCAAGGATTCAGTGTCTATATTTCCAAAAATTGGCCTTCTTCTATTCTGAGCACCATATTTGATTTTGCTGCATTTTATTTCTCTTTAAATGGAACTAAATCAGGTTCACAAAGTGTTTTCTTATGAAGCCAGCTGACTCCCATTACTGATTTTTTTAAGCTCTAGTGGTTCAGTTCTCGCTCCTGCCCTTGATTCTTGTAGGGCAAACTGCTTTTTATCGACAGTGGATCTCTTTATGTAAACTAAAGAACATCATGAGTATTAACTCATCCTTACAAGTTAATTGGGACTCCTCATTCCCACAATGATTTAAAACATCACAGCCCATGTAATCACCTTGCAGGTTTCCCAAAGGGGCTCCAAACCAAACCATTGTAAACCAAACCACATGAAAACAAAAAGTCCATCTCCTCTTTCCAATCCATCTCATGTGCTTCATATCCATGTGCTTCCTGTTGTCTGTGTTTCCTGTTACTAATCATGATTCTGGCTAAAGCAATTGTAATGGGGGCCTTTTGGATGGGATATGGGGAATTTTATGGGAGTCTCCAAGATTGAGAAATTCAAAGTTTGGTGCTTGCCTCTCTGTGAGATGTGGAAGACTGTCTTGGAGATCTGCTTTTATTTTTGCAAATTCTGCTGGCCGCTGCCAGAGTTTCTAAAGTAAGGCTGAACATTATGCTCCTCTACTTAGAAGTAAATCAAATGGAAGGTAATGGGATTTGCTGCCAGGTAAGTGCATGGAGGATTCCATACTGGGTTGATTTAATTGGCAGGCCAGAATTATAATCAGCATTGTGCTAAAGACTGATCCATTAGATCTTTCAAATGTAAATTAGCAATTTTAAAATGATGATCCATTGCTTCAGATGTGCATGTGTTCAATTTTCATCCTTTCCCCCAAGATGATGATTTTTTGAATGCCCCCCCCTTTTTTTTCTGAATTAACCTCATGAATCTTCCACCAACTGACAATCTCTTTGTGAAGGGAGAGATTTCACAAAGTTTATGGGGCTAATGAAATGTGGCTGTAGGGTAACATCCCTGAAGATCAGTTTGTGAGCAATTTAAACAAGAGGGAAAGTTTTGAACGAAAAGACGTTGAAAAGTTGTGAACAGGGATTTAAGCTGGCGCTGTTTAAACCACTAATGGATAATAAGCTGCCATTCAGGTTCAGGTCTGGTTATAAAAGAGGGGTCGGTTTGGGGATTTAAGTTCTGAAGTTACTTGGAGTTGACAATAGAAGAGGGAGAAGAAAAATGTAACAGGTTAATCTGACACAAATGTATCATACCGGGGTGAGAACAAAGGGCTTCAGACAATTAATTGTACCGATCTTCAACTTTTATTATGGCATATTTGTGTTCAGTGTGTCTGCACACCAGTGGTGGGATTCATTTTTTTAAACTACCAGTTCTGTGGGTGTGGCTTGGTGCGTGTAGCAGGGGAAGGATACTGTAAAATCTCCAGTCAGAGGTGGTATTTGCCGGTTCTCCGAACTACTCAAAATTTCCGCTACCAGTTCTCCAGAACTGGTCAGAAACTGCTGAATGCCACCTCTGGTTAGAACGCGGTATTGCAGACTAATTCCATCAGTTGCTTCTGAGTGAGAAAACGACCTGTTGTTGCTGCTTTCCCATCTCCTCGGCTTCCTATGACAAGCTAGATGATCAAGGACAGTACTTGATTACATTGAGAATCATCACAAAGGACGCATTAATGCATAGCAAATGAAACATACAACCACATCATAATACAGTTGGCCCTGGAAGCCTTGGACTTCTTCCAAGGAGGCATCTGAAATGATGAAATTTGAAAATGTACATGCATACATTTGATCTGATGTTGTGATTGCCAAACAGCTTTATTACCAAGGTCACTAACCTGAAATAAATTCACTTTATATATAGAGAGAGAACTGTAACAGTGTCTTCTATGTGACAAAAACTCAGCGCTAAGCAAAATTAACTATGATGACTTGGAAAGAAATCTCATTGAGTTCAAGGACACTTAGTGCTGAGTTACATACACTTCAGATTGCTGTCAAGCTGGGTGACTGCTGCTTAGGCAGCCTTGCAGGCTAGGTTGCTGTGTTTCTTGGTTAGCTAACTATGCTTGTTATTCAAGCAAAATATCTAGAACAGAAGAATAGGGTTGTTGTTTTTTCCTCCTCTGTCTCTAGGAATGTAATTTCCTTGGTACTTAGCTTAGGTGGGTGAGTTTTGCTTGCAAATCTGAATCATGTATACGGAGTATAGCACATAATATGAGTAGGTTTCTAACAAACATATCCAGCACATCCCAAATTTATCTAGCTATATTTCGATAGATTATAGCTGCCAACCATGTTTTGGTGGTACTCCTTCCAGGCTTTCTACCTGATAATGCATATTAAGGAGAAGATGCAAGGAACAAATTTTGGACATTCTGCATGCAAGATCTAGCCTTAGTTTCTAAATTAAATTAAAGGCTCCCTCACTTAAGGTTCTTTTGGAGTTGAGGTAATGAAAATATGTACAAGAACCCCCAAAGAAGGCTCAGTTCCATAAGATATTTGATGCCAGGTCCTTTTCCCATAGCATGTCACAATGACAGCTACAGTATTTACAGATTAAATCTTTATATATCTATTCAAACATACATCCAACTATTTTAAAAGAGAATTATCACCCCACCCAAGAATTGCAGTTTAATTATTAACCAGTTAGATCAATTTATATATCTATTATTTATTGAATTTGCTGCACAGTTTTCTTTTTATATGTAGATATTTTATTCAAAGATATTTAATTACATGTGTGCCTGTGTGTATTTTGGACTGCAGATCATTGTTGTTAAAATCTACAAAATATGTTTTATTCAGGGAGAAGTTGTTTACTGCAAAAATTAACAATAAAGGCTAGCTCGGTTATTTATCTGTTCATTCACAGCAGATATCTACCATTTCATCTGTATTGTACCATAAATATGTTATATTTATCCATATTTAGCTTAATCATTTTATTGATCAAGATTCAACTATCCAGATTGTGTTTTGTCAGCAGCTATTCAAAATAGATACCAGATAATAGTGAAGGGCAAAGTTATCTTTTTAAAATTTATTTATTTAGGCTGATAGAAGCGAAGAAGAGAGAGGGAACCCCTACTCCAAGTTGGGTTCAACGTCAGACATTTGTCTATTTTATTATATTTTCTTGGCAACGGTAGAGTAGTTTTCCACTTCTTCTGGGAGGATTTTTTGGTCAACTTTCCAATCTAGCTTTCACATTTCTTGGCAGCCTTTCATCCATGTATGAATCTAGTTCAGTTCTTCTTTTTGAAGGCAAGGTTAGCTAGGAAGATAAATGATTTTTTTTCTTAGTTTCTCTCTCCTTTCATTTTTTCTTTGTGTCTATTGCCAAGCAGTATTGCAGTTTGGAATTGCTGCAACCTTGCATACAGGGTGCCCAGGCATTAGCAGGCAGGCACATAAATTCTCAAGCAAATAAATCTAGTTAACTAGTTAACAGGCAATCTTTCATCGGGTGAAGGACATGCCAGTACAGGTAACTAAGCTAAAAAGAGAAGTAGTGAGAACTTTATATCCTTAATGCACTATTAATAGCACATTGGTGTGATATAGATTTTTGCCACTTCCTATACTAACAAACATCACTTATTGCATACTGTAGATCTTTATATGGAATTGCTTACTTCAGTTGATGGCAATAGCTGAAAACAACGCAGAAAATAACTTTTGGCTGCCCCCCATGGATCGGCCATCTTATACGCTAATGAACATGCCTTTTTTTTTTTAAATCCTGCAAGGAATAATCTGAGATCCAATCTGGGTCAGTCACCGGGACCAGAGTTTTAGTCTCCCAAGCTTTTGGATTCCTGCTGGAGCCCATCCTCAGGGAACTTCTCTCTACCAGAATGTGTGCTTTGGGCTATTCTATGTGTAGTATTAAGGGGATGCAGTGCCTCAGTGGCTAAGATGCTGAGCTTGTTGACCAGAAAGGCTGGCAGTTCAGCGGTTTGAATCCCTAGCACCGCGTAATGGAGTGAGCTCCTGTGACTTGTCCCAGCTTCTGCCAACCTAGCACTTTGAAAGCATGTAAAAAATGCAAGTAGAAAAATAAGGACCACCTTGGTGGGAAAGGAACAGCATTCCATGTGCCCTTCAGCATCTAGTTATGACCACAGAGACGTCTTCAGACAGCGCTGGCTTTTCGGCTTTGTAATGGAGATGACTAGCACGTATGTGCAAGGGGAACCTTTACCTTTACCTTTTTGCATAGTATTTATGCGATGCAGGTTGTGTATGGCTTTTTATTTGTTTGATT